GTGTGTTAGTCACTTTTCTACCAGGAAACCCAGGTCATATGTTATATAGTCGTCCGTCCATAAAAAATGTTACTTTAAATTTGGTTACTGAATTCGAAGAATATAAAAAGATCTTGCGTGCAATACCTAATAGTTCTACGCTTATTATTGAAGTCTTGTTCGGAGATGCACCGGAAGATGCCTTCGACATATTACCAGGTCTATCGATTAAATGGCTCAAGAAACACGAGCGTCAACGTTGCAGTATTATTCATATCGGAGCATCGCCCGTTGCAACCCTCGAGGGGGTCCAAATTATTAAAAGTGACAGTATTTCTCTTACTAAGATATTCTTGCCGTATAATATACATTTGATAAGGTTGATGTATACTATCAAAACATTTAAGCAAGACCAATTAAAGACTATTATATGATCATAATATACACTATGAGTTTATATCCGGCGCTCGGTGAAGCATTTGAAAAGATGGAAACTGTTGATGGATTTCGATTACATCAAATAAACGACATAAAACATCGAATAGGGAAGGAAAGGGAGTTGAGACTTGGATTGTATAAAAAGTATCGCAGAGCCGTGAATGCTCTGGACGGAGTTGACACCGCGCTTTTAGTATCTAGCATGGGACTCGGTGTAGCGGGTATCGGTTTACTATCAACTATAATCGCCGCGCCTATCGTGGTCGGCATGGAAATAACAGCTGGAGTCTCGGGACTGGCAGGAATAGCGATAAAATTCATTTCTCGTAGGTTGCAAAAGAAAGCATTAAAACACGATAGTATTCGGATACTTGCCGAAGCAAAGTTGAACACCATTGAGGATCATATTTCGACAGCAATGGCCGATTGTAAGATATCCGAGGATGAGTTTCGTTTAGTGCTGTCGGAACTCACCAAATACAATGAAATGAAGCAGGAGATTCGATCCAATTCTCGTAAGACCAGTGGTATTAACGAAGACGAGAAAAAAAAGTTCATAGAACAGGGGAGGCAACAAGCGCGTCAATTATTCCGTGCCAAAACCAAAGAACTGGTTGGAGATTAAAAATAGATTGCTTACTATCATTAGATCACATTTAGAAGAATGCTTACATATGTATATAATAATGGAGAATTACAAACCAACAAAGGAAGAACTCGAAACATTTATGCTCAGGGACAAAATCATCAAATGGAGAGAATTACCACAAGGTATATATTATATCAGTGATGTCAAACCAACCAAATACGGTCATCAATTGTTTCTTTCCCATTTCCAAGAAGAGTATATAGTCTGGTCTCCTAGTAAAATGAACGAAGAACTTAGTAAAAATGTTGAATATCACTTTGTTAAAAATAATGGTATACGTATTAGTAAAAATAATAGAGAATATTTTCATTACAATTTAGTTTAATCTCATGACTATCGTTGAATCGCATCATCATTTTCGCATTAAAAATTCCATCTGAAGTAGCAGTATAGGTATATAAATCCGGCTCCAGTGGAGTTTCGGCAGAATCACCATTACCTATAATAAATTTATATCATAGAAGCATTTATTGACTCCAGGTGGTGGTGAGCTAGAGTCAATTTAGCTTAATCTCATGATGATCGTTGAATAGCATCAGCGTTTACACATAAAAAAAATCCCCCTGTAGTGGTGGTATAGGTATATAAATCTGGCTCCAGTGGAGTTGCGGCAGAACCCCCATTACCTATACTACTATTTTGCTTTAGGCGTGACATTTTTTTCGACACATTCATTCACTAAAAGCTTTTAGAACAGGACTATGTTTTTGGGGATAAGTTGTCTAAATTTATATATTTCATATTTCATCTCGTCATTGCTTAACTAAAATTGTGTCATTGATATTGGTGCACAAACTTAATACAATATCTGCGTAAACCATTGGTTTTATGACTGTCGGCCTTCTGCGTGCTACAGAAGAATCCATTTCTGGATAGTGGGGTCTGAGGCATGTGGTAGGGTCTGACACGGTGCACGTGGAGTTCATGCTGCACGTATATTCGTAAATGCCTCATCGTCGACTTGACACCTGCACTTTCAGCCAAGCGTGAAAATCAACACCTGTTGTTGTTATTGACTTGACGGATAATTGTCATGTCGGGATTTTAGCAGTAAGTCTGTTTAGCAGTAAAACCGAGTATTTGATGTGTGGAATTAGAGACACTACCCTCGTTTGGGGGTTCTATATAACATTTTATACATTAACACACAGACATCCCACTGCGAACACCTGTACGTATTTATCAACACAATGTACTCGGCATATGGTTTTGTGCACCGCAAGCAACAATATTCCAGCCATATGACGAAGGCCGTTCAGTAATCTAATCTGGACAGACAAACCAGTGATTAATATTATGAGCAGCATTGCGAAAAACAACCCACACCACCGAGCCTGACGTCCAATTCGCCATCTCTTTTAATCCGAGTCCGATTTCCTTCCCGTGTAAATTTCACCACACGGGATAACTCAGATATTTTATTAAATATAATCCACAAATAATTACTATCGGAAAAGAATAGTGAAATACCATACAAAAGTAATATTCAATTGTAACAACCAATAGCAATTACAACCATGCCAATATAGCTGGGGTTTTATCGCAAATATCTGCTTTTGTTGCTATAGATGAAACATAAATCTAGTCTCCCTACAAAATCCAACCCCATCCCACCACAAGAGAATCACATGGCCGACCCCTTAAACTATGTAGTAATGTCCCCTATAAGTAATGCCCCCCTTGATGATTCGGGCTAGAAGTGGCGACTGTTAAACAACAAACAAAATAATGGCACTTGGAAACGGCAAATCAGTGCTTCGCGTTATTCACGTCGGTGAATGCACGAATTTTAACGGTCCCAGAAAGTTATCCAAAGTTTTATATAATAATTGGTTACAAGATTATGATGTAAACGCGACCGCCTCCGTGGTCTAATGGTAGAGCATCCGCCCGGAGAGCGGAAGGCCCGGGGTTCGATCCCCGGCCGCGTCATACCAAAAGACGTTAAAAGATGGTACTTGTTGTTACCCTGTCTGGCGCTCGGCATTAATGGGCTAAAACAAGGACTGGTCGGCTTGGAGTCAGTATATTGTGTCTGAGTGGGGTATTCATGTTAACTGCGGCATGGTATCTCAGTGTGCTACCACTATAAATCGGCATCAGTCCGGACTAGTACAAGCAGCCACACACATACACGTGCATATATAAGTGCAATAATCTTGGACGCGACGTTAAACCCCATTTCAGCTCACCTCACCTATGATGTAAATGCAAAACCGTTTAAATGGATAGCAACAGTACAAAAATACTAAATGATGTCGGACTGTCAGGAGTATTCATAAACCCATCTATTTGCTCAACTTCATGGCTGGTTTCAAATGTCGAGGGTATTCTAAAATATCAATTTATTCAACAGTGGCAAGAATGTATCCTATCAAGTTAAAAAGGTTTATATTACTAACAGAATTACCAAAATTAGAAATTTTTCTATTACTTCCCAAAACTATCTACTTGCCGATTTTACAATTTCGTACAAGGAATCATCATTTGCCCATTGAAACCGACCGATGGGGAGGGTTACTGAGAGAAGACCGTGTCTGTACACTATGCAATTCATCTGCTGTTGGAGACGATCGCGAGTTTCACTATCTTTTTAGCTGTCAAGCTCTTCTACAACAACGACTTCTCCATATCCCAAAGAATTGTTATATCTGGCCAAATATGTGTAAACTGAGTAAAACGTCACCACCTAAATATATATCCACTTTGAAACATCTGTCCAGATTCATTGTACATTTGAACACATTATTACGTTAAAGTGTCCAAATAACTTATTAAGGCATATTACCATCTTGATCTGCATTGAATATTATTGGTAAAAAACTGGGGTACGATGACACGCAATCATAAAGGCACCTATACTGGTAAAGTCGCCTCACGCGCCAAATCCCAGGTCATACGGACGTTTTCTGACCCGGGTCATCACCTGGCTCTGCCAGCCAGCCAACCACTCACCCACTCACTCGCATTTGTATCATAAACGTAAAACTCACAACTTGATACAATGATTTCGAGAGTAATTATCGTTATTAAACCCGTCTTTTGTATAACGGTTAATATGTGGACCAATTTCCGCTCAGATGCAGCGTCGCGCTATCAAATCAATACCTAGCCTATATACCTCAACTGTAGCCCACGCCCCGGCTGTCAACATCATCGATGTCAGGTGTACTGGGTCAGTCGGTCGGTCACCAGAACGGCCCACATCTCGAGCCGTGACATCACGCTATGCCCTCTCACCTTGCCGGCCAACACTTCCTCTATTGAGTGAGTGAGTGAGTGAGTGAGTGAGTGAGTGAGTTGGGTTTAACGCCGCTTTTAACAGTATTCCAGTTATATCACGGCGTGTCAGCTTAATGTGGGAGGAAAGCCCGAAGTGATGCAGGTCTCAGACGTTTATCTCTTCGGTGAAACCCACGAGCTCGGGTATGGTGCTGACAAACCTAGAAACAAAATCGAGGCTAACCGGGATTCGAACCCACGATTATAGGTTTCTGACGTGCCCAAGGGACGCAACTCTGCACAGCGAATCGCGGCGCCTTAGACGACTGGGCCATCCGTGCCCCCTTCTCTGTTGAAGTTGAAACCAAGTGAAACTGACATTCCAAACTTAAAGGGTTAATTGCCTTCAAAATGCGACAACTATGTGACTATTACAAAGATAAGAAACTGAACGAGATAAACACGATGACAAATCACTAAAACATTAGCTCGTTCTTGCAAAATGTGCCCGCGAAATGCTATGGAGCGGGTCCTCTCCGGTCAATAAACTACCCCCACGGTGATTCCGAGGCAAAATGTGTATCACAAGCCCATTAGGCTAGCAACAGCTGAATGGCACAGACACAATAAAGACACAAGCGTGCAACCACTTGAAAATAATGACAGAGTGACAGACAAGTCCCGACTGGTAGACAATGACACAGTGACAGAGATGCACCCACAGGCAGACAATGACTCAATGACAGACATGCACCCACAGGCAGACAATGACGCAACGACAGACATGCACCCACAGGCAGACAATGACTCAATGACAGACATGCACCCACAGGCAGACAATGACGCAACGACAGACATGCACCCACAGGCAGACAATGACGCAACGACAGACATGCACCCACAGGCAGACAATGACGCAACGACAGACATGCACCCACAGGCAGACAATGACACAACGCCAAACATCCACCCACAGGCAGACAATAACACAACGAGAGACATGCACCCACAGGCAGACAATGACACAACGACAGACATGCACCCACAGGCAGACAATGACACAACGACAGAGATGCACCCACAGGCAGACAATGACACAACGACAGACATGCACCCACAGGCAGACAGTGACACAACGACAGACATGCACCCACAGGCAGACAATGACACAACGAGAGACATGCACCCACAGGCAGACAATGACACAGTGACAGACATGCACCCACAGGCAGACAGTGACGCAACGACAGACATGCACCCACAGGCAGACAATGACACAACGACAGACATGCACCCATAGGCAGACAATGACACAACGCCAAACATCAACCCACAGGCAGACAATGACACAGTGACAGACATGCACCCACAGGCAGACAATGACGCAACGACAGACATGCACCCACAGGCAGACAATGACACAACGACAGACATGCACCCACAGGCAGACAATGACACAACGACAGACATGCACCCACAGGCAGACAATGACACAACGACAGACATAGACCCACAGACAGACAATGACACAACGCCAAACATCCACCCACAGGCAGACAATGACACAACGACAGACATGGACCCACAGACAGACAATGACACAACGCCAAACATCCACCCACAGGCAGACAATGACACAGTGACAGACATGCACCGTCAGGCAGACAATGACGCAACGACAGACATGCACCCACAGGCAGACAATGACGCTACGACATACAGGCACCCACAGGCAGACAATGACATAACGCCAAACATCCACCCACAGGCAGACAATGACACAGTGACAGACATGTAACCACAGGCAGACAATGACACAACGCCAAACATCCACCCACAGGCAGACAATGACACAATGACAGACATGCACCCATAGGCAGACAATGACACAACGACAGACATGCACCCACAGGCAGACAATGACACAACGACAGACATGCACCCACAGGCAGACAATGACACAACGACAGACATGGACCCACAGACAGACAATGACACAGCGCCAAACATCCACCCACAGGCAGACAATGACTCAATGACAGACATGCACCCACAGGCAGACAATGACGCAACGACAGACATGCACCCACAGGCAGACAATGACACAACGACAGACATGCACCCACAGGCAGACAATGACACAACGACAGACATGCACCCACAGGCAGACAATGACACAACGACGGACATGGACCCACAGACAGACAATGACACAACGCCAAACATGCACCCACAGGCAGACAATGACACAATGGCAGACATGCACCAACAGGCAGACAATGATGCAACGACAGACATGCACCCACAGGCAGACAATGATGCAACGACAGACATGCACCCACAGGCAGACAATGATGCAACGACAGACATACACCCACAGGCAGACAATGACACAACGACAGACATGGACCCACAGACAGACAATGACACAACGCCAAACATCCACCCACAGGCAGACAATGACACAGTGACAGACATGCACCCACAGGCAGACAATGATGCAACGACAGACATGCACCCACAGGCAGACAATGATGCAACGACAGACATGCACCCACAGGCAGACAATGATGCAACGACAGACATACACCGTTAGGCAGACAATGACACAGTGACAGACATACACCCACAGGCAGACAATGGCGAAACGACAAACATACACCCACAGGCAGGATCCGGGCGTCGCTCTACCACTAGACCACGGAGGCGGTTCATAATCAATAACTCACCATATGGTTCATTTGTGACAGCGTCCTACTGACCTAGACGCAAGAAGAACAAATGTGCACCATCCTGCACTAATGCGTGGGCAATTGATGTTCAGTAGCAGCTGGTTATCAAAAGTATTGCCTTGGCGTTATGTTGTTCTCTTCAGTGGGAGCAGGTGAGTGTGTTTTGGGTACTGAGTGAGTATAATTTTACGCCGCGTTTAAGACTATTCCAGCAATAAAACTCTGATTCTCACAATTTAACCATATCAGGAATCGAACACCAACCTTTGCGTGGCTATCGAAGGGCCCTTAAAGTAAGTGAGTGAGTGAGTGAACGTCATAGGCCGCGGGCACGATATATTCAGGTTAGGAAACGTCGCCTCTAATTGTAATAAGAAGCTGTTCATTCATATATGTTATCTTTACTTGGTCTTACAAAGACGATAACCATAAGCCTCATGGGAAATGCTTCGCTCGAAATTCGAGCCCAATAATATGTTCTATAAAGCGTCCCAGCTTTGTGACGTCATATCATTATAACGTGACGTCGCTTTCCAATTGGGACATCAGAAAAAAACGGGACTCTCTTACCCAATCATGATGATGTTTCTTATCAAACGCAATCTTTTGATCTGTTCACACTTGGTACAAATGTTCTTTGTTTGTTTGTTAGTTTGTTGTTTATCGCCGCACACAGTAATATGCAGCTAAATGACGGCGGTCCGTAAATAGTCATGTCTGGACCAGGCAGTCCAGTGACTGACATCATGAGTAGATCAACGCCATTGATATACGATGACATGCATCAACCAGGTTAGCAAGGCTGCCCACCCAAACTAGACATCTTTTGCTAGGGGCCGGCTCTGTGAAGACACGCTTACAGCAGACATTTATACAGAGGGAGACATCAACAGAAAACGACACAAACACACGTACGCACATACGAAATTTCACACACATGTACACACACATACACACACAGACGCACACACAAACACGTCCAAGTACATACACGCATATATCAATGTACAGACACATACATGTACACACACGTACACACACAGACGCACACACAAACACGTCCAAGTACATACACGCATATATCAATGTACAGACACATACATGTACACACACGTACACACACAGACGCACACACAAACACGTCCAAGTACATACACGCATATATCAATGTACAGACACATACATGTACACACACGTACACACACAGACGCACACACAAACACGTCCAAGTACATACACGCATATATGAATGTACAGACACATACATGTACACACACGTACACACACAGACGCACACACAAACACGTCCAAGTACATACACGCATATATCAATGTACAGACACATACATGTACACACACGTACACACACAGACGCACACACAAACACGTCCAAGTACATACACGCATATATCAATGTACAGACACATACATGTACACACACGTACACACACAGACGCACACACAAACACGTCCAAGTACATACACGCATATATCAATGTACAGACACATACATGTACACACACGTACACACACAGACGCACACACAAACACGTCCAAGTACATACGTGCATATATCAATGTACAGACACATACATGTACACACACGTACACACACAGACGCACACACAAACACGTCCAAGTACATACACGCATATATCAATGTACAGACACATACATGTACACACACAGACGCACACACAAACACGTCCAAGTACATACACGCATATATCAATGTACAGACACATACATGTACACACACGTACACACACAGACACATACATGTACACACACATAAAAGTACACACATATATACGTACACACATGTGAGTGAGTGAGTGAATGAGTTTTGGTTTTACGCCGCTTTTAGCAATATTCCAGCAATATCACGGCGGGGACACCAGAAATGGGCTTCACACATTGTGCCCATGTCGGGAATCGAACCCGGGTCTTCGGCGTGACGAGCGAACGCTTTAACCACTCGTTTACCTCGTGACTGCCCCCATACGCACATGTACAGACACCGCTCAGTGTGATGTACAAGATACTACGTACCAGGGTACTAAACAGAAGAAGAAGAAGAAGAAGAAGAAGAAGAAGAAGAAGAAGAAGAAGAAGAAGAATAAAATTGTTTTGTTAAAGTATCACATGCTGCAGTACTAAATATATGGACATATAAACATTTCATTAAAAAACAGCACCCGGCCAGTTGGCCTACGAGACACTAATTACATAATTGTACATTTAAAATATATAAAAAAAGAAAGGAAAAATTAGTTACAACTTTGTATATTACTACACCCACACCCACACCCACACCCACACCGATACACCAACACACACATCCGCATTAAAATCCCGCTCAAAGCATTCAAACAGGTAAGCATACAAACAGGTAAGCATACAGGACACTCACAGCAATCTCATACAGGACACTCACAGCAATCTCATTCAGAACACTCACAACAATCTCATTCAGAACACTCACAACAATCTCATTCAGAACACTCACAACAATCTCATACAGAACACTCACAACAATCTCACACAGAACACTCACAACAATCTCATACAGGACACTCACAACAATCTCATACAAAACACTCACAGCAGTCTCATACAGAACACTCACAACAATCTCATACAGAACACTCACAACAATCTCATACAAAACACTCACAACAATCTCATACAGGACACTCACAGCAGTCTCATACAGAACACTCACAACAATCTCATACAGAACACTCACAACAATCTCATTCAGAACACTCACAACAATCTCATTCAGAACACTCACAACAATCTCATTCAGAACACTCACAACAATCTCATACAAAACACTCACGGCAATCTCATACAGAACACTCACAACAATCTCATACAGAACACTCACAACAGTCTCATTCAGAACACTCACAACAATCTCATACAGAACACTCACAACAATCTCATACAGAACACTCACAACAATCTCATTCAGAACACTCACAACAATCTCATACAGGACACTCACAGCAGTCTCATACAGAACACTCACAACAATCTCATAAAGAACACTCACAACAATCTCATACAAAACACTCACAACAATCTCATACAGAACACTCACAGCAGTCTCATACAGAACACTCACAACAATCTCATACAGAACACTCACAACAATCTCATACAGAACACTCACAACAATCTCATACAGAACACTCACGGCAATCTCATACAGAACACTCACAACAATCTCATACAGAACACTCACAACAATCTCATACAGAACACTCACAACAATCTCATACAGAACACTCACAACAATCTCATACAGAACACTCACAACAATCTCATACAGAACACTCACGGCAATCTCATACAGAACAATCACAACAATCTCATACAGAACACTCACGGCAATCTCATACAGAACACTCACAACAATCTCATACAGAACACTCACAACAATCTCATACAGAACACTCACAACAATCTCATACAGAACACTCACGGCTATCTCATACAGAACACTCACAACAATCTCATACAGAACACTCACAACAATCTCATTCAGAACACTCACAACAATCTCATACAGGACACTCACAGCAGTCTCATACAGAACACTCACAACAATCTCATACAGAACACTCACAACAATCTCATACAGAACACTCACAACAATCTCATTCAGAACACTCACAACAATCTCATACAGAACACTCACAACAATCTCATTCAGAACACTCACAACAATCTCATACAGAACACTCACAACAATCTCATTCAGAACACTCACAACAATCTCATTCAGAACACTCACAACAATCTCATTCAGAACACTCACAACAATCTCATTCAGAACACTCACAACAATCTCATTCAGAACACTCACAACAATCTCATACAAAACACTCACAACAATCTCATACAAAACACTCACAACAATCTCATTCAGAACACTCACAACAATCTCATACAGAACACTCACAACAATCTCATACAGAACACTCACAACAATCTCATTCAGAACACTCACAGCAGTCTCATACAGAACACTCACAACAATCTCATACAGAACACTCACAACAATCTCATACAGAACACTCACAACAATCTCATTCAGAACACTCACAACAATCTCATTCAGAACACTCACAACAATCTCATACAAAACACTCACAACAATCTCATACAAAACACTCACAACAATCTCATTCAGAACACTCACAACAATCTCATACAGAACACTCACAACAATCTCATACAGAACACTCACAACAATCTCATTCAGAACACTCACAGCAATCTCATACAGAACACTCACAACAATCTCATACAGAACACTCACAGCAGTCTCATACAGAACACTCACAACAATCTCATACAGAACACTCACAACTATCTCATACAGAACACTCACAGCAGTCTCATACAGAACACTCACAACAATCTCATTCAGAACACTCACTACAATCTCATTCAGAACACTCACAACAATCTCATACAGAACACTCACAAAAATCTCATTCAGAACACTCACAACAATCTCATACAAAACACTCACAACAATCTCATACAGAACACTCACAACAATCTCATACAGAACACTCACAGCAGTATCATACAGGACACTCACAACAATCTCATACAAAACACTCACGGCAATCTCATACAGAACACTCACAACAATCTCATACAAAACACTCACGGCAATCACATACATGTCATACATCTATACACATATGCGTCCATATACACACAACTTAATTCATCAATCGTGTATACTAACCTACATGTATAACCAGCATACATACTAACATACCAACCTACATACATACCTATATCCATCAAACATAAATCAATCCGTATTATACATACA